GTGTTTTTGTACAGACAGCACTTCAGACAGCAGTATGCTGTAGTCGGCAATCTTCCGTTTTGGTATAGAGTGGGACAGGGAGGGGGTGATGCTTTTGCTGTAGTCGAACGGTGGGACGGACGTGCAGTTCAGTTTTTGGGCACGCATACGGTGCTGCAGGGATTTTTAGGTGTACCTCTTCGGGCTCGTGGATACCTTTTTCTCGTTATATGTGTGCGTGTTCTTTAGATCCTCAGATGGCTCTAGCACTTTCGTGACCACGGGCTGAGAGTCTTTGCTAGATTTTGGCATTTAGCAACTGACATACGGTTTAATGTGAAGACAAACAACAACAACATACCTTTGAAGTCTGCTACCGAAAAGGGGGTTCCGCTGTAGTAAAACATTGCGTTCCTGGAAATTTCTGCGTGATCAAGACCACAAACGTTTTACTCGCATCTTCGCAAGCTGTTTTCGAAATCAAATTTCGATCTCATCTCGAACTTCCTGGCAACTTCGAAGATGAAATCCCAACACCAGTCCGCAAACACCCTAGTGTACAGACTTGCGGGACAGGAGTGGTTCTCTAGAAAGAGACAACGGTGTGGTCTTCGGAAGAGAGGGGAAGAAGAAGAGTGACAGAGGAGGGGTGAAGAGGGGTGTGCACAGCACACCACTCCGCAGCCCTGATAACGCAGAACCGACCTGACTAGGCGGTGACGCAGACACGGTCTGTGCTGGCGTGCTGACATGGTACAGCACTGACACGCTAGCGGGGAATCTTCCCGGGCATGACTGACAAGCTACCGGGGAGTCTCCCCGGTTATGAGATGACAAGCAACCATCTGGGCGGTTGCAGCATGTATGCGGTACGCGGACATGTGTTTACAGGACATACGGTGATAAGCCAACTTGGAGACAGCTGCCGATGGGTTTGAACCCAAATGCCCCGGTTTGGACACCGGGGCAAGGCAGCGGTGGAGAGCACGGAGAGGGTGGCGGGATGATCGCACACCGTGTGGGTAAGCACCCAACAGGGGGACGGAAAGGGTCCAGAGCTGGAGAGCCACGCCGCTCCGGGACAGGAAGACACCTCGCTGGGAAAGGCAAGCACCGGGTTAACTCTTACATTAACCCGAGGATCCGCAGAGCAATAAAAATAAAGAAAATAAAAAAAGGAAGGAAGAAGAGGAGGAGGGGCCGGAAGGTGCGTAGGCTGATTAGGGATGCAGCACGCACCGCCCGGCAGAGGCGGCAGGGTCGACTTGTTAGGGTAGCAACCTACAATGTGCGTACACTGGCCGTGAACGGGGCCAACGGCTATGGGAGAGCCGACAGCGTCTTACACGAGGCAGCGAAACAGGGCATTTCGTTTGTCGGTCTGCAGGAGGTCAGGAGACCAGGGCGAACGGAGTTCGCAGCATCCGGTTTTCGGGTGTTCACCTGTGGCACGGACAAGGGTGGTACGCATGGCGTCGGAATCGCTGTGGAGGAGACGCTGTGCAAATCCTCCCAGTACACCACGGAGTACGTGGACGAGCGCCTCATGGCTATGAGGTTTGAGATGATGGGCCACCGCGGAGCGGTGACCTTCGTGGCTGCGTATGCCCCAACAGACGTGGCCACCACCGAGAGCAAACACATGTTCTGGGAAAAACTTGACAGTCTCGTGCGTCGTATCCCCGCTAAGGAGTATCTTTTCGTGCTCATGGATGCCAATGCCCAGACCGGAGGAGGGATAGCAGGGGAAAACGAAGGAACCATGGGCGAGTACGGGCGCAATGAGCTGAACGAAAATGGTGAGCTGCTGCTGACTTTCGCCACGGACAACAGATTAGCGGTCCTCAACACCTTCTTCGACACACGGAGGGGCGGGATATGGCATACGTTCAACGGCCCGTCGGGACGCGAACGTAGGTGCCTCGATTACATCCTGACGCGCCAAGCACACCGCGACCGAGTGTCCAACATGGAGGTCGTACCTCAGCCAGTGCGCCCAGTCAGAGCGGACTCAGACCACAACATCGTAGTAGCCACCGTCGACCTCGGTGGCCGGCTGGCCCACAACCGACCTATCCGGACCAACCCCAAACGGCGGCAGTTCAACCGACAAGATCTGCAGGTCGAGGCAGCGCGATGGGCTGTATCCCAACGGTTTCTCTGCAACCTGCTCGCGAGGTCGGGCGCGCCGGCGACCACCACGCAGGAAATGGCGAAGGAGTTCACGGAGGCCCTGCTCGGCGCGGCGGAGACGGAGCTGTCTGAGGAACCCCGGAGGCGGCGCACCACGGAATGGAACATGACCACCGCGGCACGGACAGCCCTGGCGACCGCCCTTGACAAGCGACGGGCTGCGCGACATTCCTTCAAGGCCGGACCGAACGCAGCAACGTGGAGGATCCTCAAAGCAACGTGCAAGGGGGTGAAGGCAACAATCGCAACGAGCATCTACGACCACCTGGAAAGATACGTGACGGAGCTCGAAGCGATCTACCAGGACCGCGACATGCGGGGGCTGTACCAACACCTCAAGCGGTCAACGGGCCTCAGCGGGAGACAAGCTGGGGGGCAGCAGTTCGTTACAGACGAGAACGGCGTGCTACTCCGGAACAAGGATGCCATCCTCAAGCGGTGGCGGAGATTCTTCAATACCCTCCTGAACTCCAAGTCCCCCACTCTGAACCCAGACGTTGTCGAACAGGTGATGCAGCGACCAGCGACGCGCGCCACCCGACACCTGGCGGCGGTACCAGACCTCGAGGAGGTTGAGGCGGCGACGAAAGGCCTGGGGAACTGGAAGGCGGTTGGTCCCGACCTCCTTGCCGCCGAACTGCTCAAGGTCGACGGCGACGACGAGCCAGTTGTACTGGAGCGCCTCCGTGCCATCTTCGTCGAAGTGTGGAATGGGGGAGAGATGCCGCAGGAGTGGAAGGATGCCATCATTAAGGTGCTGTACAAGAAGGGTGACCGTTCGAACTGCAACAACTACAGGGGCATCTCGCTGCTCTCGCATGTAGGCAAAGTACTCGCCAAGACCATCACCAACCGCCTGAGCGCATTCTGCGAAGCCAACGAAATCCTCCCGGAGGAACAGTGCGGGTTCCGGCCTGGCCGATCCACGGTATGCATGCTGTTCGTTGTGCGCCGACTCCAGGAGCTGGGGCGGAGGAGGAGAATCCCGCTCTACATGTGCTTCATCGATCTGCAGAAGGCATATGACTCGGTGGACCGGGAGCTACTGTGGAAGGTGCTGGCCCGGGCCGGGATCCCCGGGGAGATGATCGCCGTCATCCGCAAGTTCCACGTCGGAATGCGGGCCCGGGTCCGCACGGACGATGGGGAGCTATCGGACTGGTTCCCGGTCACGCAGGGATTACGACAAGGGTGCTCAATGTCCCCACTGCTGTTCAACGTCTTCTTCGCAGCGCCTCTCGAGATCATTGTCACACGGTTCAGCCAAGATGAGGTTATCGTGCGGGACCTAGTGTACTTGAAGGAGGAGGAACGGAGGGGGGGGGGATTGCTGGACCGAGTCCGGAGGGCGGTGTGGGGGATGCTATATGCCGACGATGCCGGCGTTGTGTCGAAGTCCGCCGACGGCCTGGCGAGGATGATGACCATTATCGTGGAGGTGTTCCGGGAGTTCGGGCTGACGGTGTCGGAGAGGAAGACGGAGACCCTGGTGATGCGGGTGAAGGAGAGACAGCGACCGCCGCCGCCGCCACCGCCGGTGCTGACCATCGAAGCAGCGGGGCAAAGGTACGCACAGACGACCGAGTTCCGATACCTGGGCGGCCTCGTCAACGAGCAGGGCGACCTTACCCGAGAGATCAACCACAGGAGCAAAGCAGCGTGGGCGTGCATTAAGCGATACGCCACGGAGCTCTTCGACCGACCGGGAGCACCGTTTCGCCTCAAAGCCCGCCTGCTCCAGGCGGAGGCAGTGGAGGCACTGCTATACGGCTGCATGACATGGTCCCCACGCCGCGACCACTACCGGCTGCTGCAGACGACACACCACCGTCTACTTCTGCGAGTTATCGGCTACCGGCGCAAACGAGGCACCTACCGGCAGCTGTCATACGCCCAGGCGCTAAAGAGGGTCGGCTGCCAGAGCGTGGAGGCCACTGTCCGTCAACGGCGCCTGCTCTTTGCGGGGGCCGTGGCAAGACAGCCGGACGGGCGGCTTCCGAAACGGCTGATGTTCGGCGAGTTGGTGGGAGGGGAGGACCCGGGCCAGGGAAACCCGGAGCAGAACTGGCTGACATGCCTGAAGGACGACATGAAGATGTTCGAAGCCAGGTACGGCTCCACGACCGACAAGCCGAGCGTCTTCGGAGTCCCGAAGTTAGTCTGGAGTGAGGCGGCGAAGGTGGAGGGGGGGGTACCGTGGCACGCGGGGGTGCTACAGGGAGCTGAGAGGTTCATGGCCTCTTGGCACAAGGGCAAGGAGGAGGCCAGCCGACAACGAGCCATCAAACGAGGAGACAGCGGGCCCAAAAATAGTCTAGATACGGCACCAATCAACGGGGCGGTAGGGGGGCGGAAGGAAACGGCGCGGCGGGAAGAAAGCAAGCGAGAAGAGACCGACCGCGTGACGTGACATGTTGCGGTCGAATTTCAACGACTAATTTTTCTGTTGCCCTCTCCCTCGTTTGCTGTCGCGTTCAGACTGTCTCTAGGGATATCCCTGTCTCTGTGCGAGTTTGTTTGTGTCCTCGTCTTTGCTTTATTCTGTTTTATTTTGTCTTTTGTTTTGTTTTTTACTGGCACGTACCCCCGCCCCTTCCTTTGGCCGTCGACCTGCCTCCATGTAGTGGGAGGCTACCCCCCCAGGCTGGTGGTGCGGCCGTTCCACTAGTCTAATTATTTATTTTATTTTATTTTATTTGTTTCTGATTATATTTTGTTTTCTTGTATTTTATCGCTCTGCTGACCCTTGGGGTCCATTTTATTTTGGTATACCTTTTCTAGGTACGTTAGCCTGTGACCACGGAAATTGGCCGAGTCAAGTGATGGATTAGTACGGAGAGATTGAGACAGAAGGAGGTACTGGATAGAGAGACCGGGATGGTTTTTAATGTGAAGACAACAACAACAACAACAACAACGGATGTGCGCGGACCGAACGGAGAGATCCGCAGAGCAAGCGGAGGAACAGTTGGACAGGGGACCTTGAGTAGGACGTACGAATAGCTACACCAGAGACTCACATCACCCCCGAAATTTGGTAGTGTTAAGAGCTCGTACTCCACCAAAACTCGACAGCGAGAATGTTGAAATACAGGGCATTACTGCTGAAGGATGTGGGTAGCAGCATAGATGCAGCTGGATGATTGCGCAATGGCACGTAGATGCGGTATAATGAGTGACGTTTGGTAGAACGTAACATATAGCGACGAGTTGTAGCGAGGAGCGAGGAGCTCGTTGATGATATGAGAATGAAGTGTAGGGAGATCACGAGGCGTTGCGAGCCCCACCGGGCTCACTCCCAACTATGCCTCATCATCTCACCTCTGCAAGTAAGTTGACTAAAGAAGAAAGTACAAGTCCCACAAGCGGCCCTCAGCAACAACATCGACTTCGGTCACTGTCTCAACAGACTTCAGTCTACGCAGACTTCGGTCTGCACATCGCACAGACTTCTGTCTGGAACTGCACAAAGTGCTGGCTGGCAGTTAGTTCACCGGACGAGCGTTTTCGGACGACCGCTTTCGTCTTCACCGCACACACACTCTCTATCTCTGGTCTCGACGCCACGGTAGTCCTTGCCGTCCGCGATTTGTTGGAATCGTCTCAGGGAGAGAAATGTGTGCTGGAGTGAATGTGTTCCGCGGCCTGCTGCCAATATTCAGAAACGGCTACAGATAGATACAGATCAGGTTTTTCCGCCGCCTCCCCCTGTGCGCTCGCTACATACGTACTCTAGACTATGAAGTTAGTTCCACCCAGACAGACAGAACCCGATTGAACCTGAAAGAACACGTTATGTCATTGCATAGCTTTACTTTACAAGTAGATGTAGTATTTAGATGGCGGATCGGTAAAACGGAAAAACGAGGTTAAATGTATCTCTGCTGTGAATGAATTCTTTGATAACATATCGGAATTCTTTGATAACATATCGCAGATATTGATCTGTGGACAGATCTACTACGAAATACCCAACGACAACAGCCGGCAGTAATATTATGAAGTTAACGAGGCGGAAGTACTTTTTTTGTTGCGGTGACTTCACGATAATTGCAATTTATTCATACCGGAGCAGTGATGCATGACCATAAACTTTGTTTTCCGTTTTCCAATCCCCCCACCTCCTTTTTTTAGTCTATTGAGGTTCAGTCATAGAACCAACATGGCACACTTCTCCCTTCTTCCCCTCGCTCCTCGACAAGCTTTTGCTTAGACATGGGTTGTAGTGAAGGGAGGGTCTTTCTGGCGAGCAGGGCTAGATTCACCCTCAAGGGATGACCGAAACCTTCTTGCTGCTGCGCATATCCGCCGCGAGGCATGCGCGTGGTGGTGTAGTTGGGTCGGCACTGATGGGGTCAGGCGAAAAAATGTAGATGCGCGGGCCTCTGGCCGTCGGCGTAGGCAGCGATG